GTGCGCATGGGTGTGTGGTGTGTGTGCATGGGTGTGTGTGTGTGTGTGGTGTGTGTGTGTGTGTGTGCATGGGTGTGGTGTGTGTGTGTGTGTGTGGTGTGTGTGTGTGTGTGTGTGTGTGTGTGTGCATGTGGTGTGTGTGTGTGTGTGCATGGGTGTGTGTGTGTGTGCATGTGTGTGTGTGTGTGTGTGTGTGTGTGTGTGTGTGTGTGTGTGTGTGTGTGTGTGTGTGTGTGTGTGTGTGTGTGTGTGTGTGTGTGTGTGTGTGTGTGTGTGTGCATGGGTGTGTGTGTGTGTGCATGGTGTGTGTGCATGGGTGTGTGTGTGCGTGTGAGCATGGGTGTGTGTGTGCGTGTGCATGGGTGTGTGTGTGCATGGGTGTGTGTGTGTGTGTGCATGGGTGTGTGTGTGTGGTGTGTGTGTATGGGTGTGTGTGTGTGTGTGTGCATGGGTGTGTGTGTGTGCATGGGGGTGTGTGTGTGTGCATGTGTGTGGTGTGTGGGTGTGTGTGTGTGTGCATGGGTGTGGGTGTGTGTGTGTGTGCATGGGTGTGTGTGTGTGTGTGGTGTGGTGCATGGGTGTGGTGTGTGTGTGTGTGTGCATGGGTGTGTGTGTGCATGGGGGTGTGCATGTGTGCATGCATGTGTGTGTGTGTCTGTGTGCACACCCCCATGGATGTGAATGAGACATACATAAAACAGTTAACTCTGCATTGAACTTTGGCGTGAGTTGTTGCCCTATTAGATAAATATTATTTCCTGTTACTCTAAATGCACTCATTATAAAGAAATAACCACCTTTAAAAAAATTTTCAATAAAAAGAACTATTTATCTTACAAACCAACCTGTTGTACATGACAGCACTTACATCAATGTCGTCCACACCAATTGACTGGACATAATTTGCGTATTTGTTTCCATTAGAGATGTCATAAATATCGCTGTCATAATAGCCACCACCATCTAGCCTAACTCGCTCATCATCCTTGGCTGAACCTTCAAGAGGTGGGGGGGGCTTTAAGCTAGCCTTCCGGTTCTGGATGTCTTGAATGTGTGCTTCAATATCTGTGTAAAACAAAAATATGAGGAAAAGGTTAGAACTTCTGTTATAGATGTTAAAAAAATATATGAACACTGCAAATATATATTATTAAGACATTTTACTATATCTATTTATCTACAATATATATAGTGCATATTATTATATATATATATATATATATATATATATATATTATATATTATATATATATATATATATATATATATATCATATCTATATGATTCCGTGTCAATTCACAGTAATACAGTAATACCTCTTTTTTTTCTTTTTTTTTTTTTCTTTTTTTTTTTTTTTAATAGAAGTGCCGTTGATGCCAAATGAAAGACTCCCTAGCTTTAGCTTCCAACCTCTTATAGTTTTGGAGATGCCATCACCCAAAGTTTAGGTTCCACATTCACTTTTTGTATTGCACACATAATTAGTAAGCATATATGGACAACCATATGTTTAGTTTTTAGACAGACAGGCCTTAAAATTGCCATGTACAGTCTGGGACTAAAGTCCTCAGAAATTTTTTGCATGTTTTGTTTACTACCCAGAGATGGCACTGCGCTAGATGAGTGGGAGTTCACTGACGCCCTCGTATCTTCCTCCATCTCGTTGATTCAAACACGTTAGAAGCAATGTAATGAATACTTACTGGCCTCCCTCCCTCCTCCATTCAGGAATCCGCCCCTTTACTACACAGTGATTGCAGCGCCATCTCTGGGCAATAAACAAAATACGCAAAACCTTTCTGAGGACTTTAGTCCCAGACTGTACCTTCATTATGACCTTGTCCATCAGATTCTGCACTCCGATAGCTTAACTATTTTTTTTAAATATCTTTTAAAGGAGCAATTAAGGTTTTTGACATTTTGAGGGTCCAGATCTAGGAAAGTATGTATATTATTGGAGTTGCAACTGATTTGCCATCATATTTGGGAACTGTATAGTTTATTCAAAGAGTTTAGTATTGCCTTCTTAAATGTCACTGCACATAGATGGCTCTGCTAGCGCTTAGCCACAAAGGAGTCAATTAGTAACCCTTGTGACCTTAGTAACAATATAGTAATTATGTTTATAAAAAAAATGTCAATATTGATAGCATTAGTAAAAAAAAAAAAAAGGCGTTTTCCCGATTTTTCAAGGAAAAGTATGGTCGCAAGATCTACTAATGGACTCCTTTGTGGCTATGCATTGGCAGAGCCATCAATGTGCAGAGACATTTAACCAAGTATTGCCAAAGGGAATGCACCATTTCCCCATCGATACTGGATTAAGATAATTTGAGCAAAGAGGGTTACATTCACTTCAAAGTGAATCACTCTTATTATCTTTAACCCACTAGTAACGGTACATTTATAATCTGAAAATAATATTTTCCGGGCGTCTTCAAAATCGGAGAGCGGGTAAGTCCGGCAACCTGCCCGCGCACCACGTGCCACAGGTGACAAAATCAGAACGTGAGCTCCGATCTGGCGTCGCACCGGCAGGATGCCTAGCAATTTTTACTTTATCGAGTGTTTCAAATATGGGACACCTGTCGTAAGTGGGTTAAAATCCCTAAAATGATGCCTATACCAATAACAATGAAAGAAAATGGGTGGATGAAAACAATCTGGTTACCAGAAAGCCATTTTTTTTTTTTTTTTTACCTTGTAAGGTTTCATATCTTAAAAGCCCACCCCAAAGTCATATATACCACTGCATCATTTCCTGTTTGCTGGAGAGTTATGCCCTCCATCTCACTAAAGTAAGGTAAACACTCCAGTCTGCCCCTCATGGAAGAATTCCGATGGGTGAAGAGGGCATGAGGGATTGCCTCCATTAGGCAGTAAGGAAGAACTGCTACATTTGTATAGTAATCTTTAGGAAATTAAGAGATTCTGGCAACAGTGTAGTTCACCTTGAAGCAGAAAAGGAAAAAAAATAGCATACTGTTCATTCCTATACTTTTCAATTATTTTAATCTTAATTTTGTCTTTTTTATTTTTTTCACTTATTTTTAGTTTTAATTTTTTCACCTTAGATTTTTTTTTCATTTTTTTTTAATATGCAGCTTGGTTCCTTTTTTTTCATTTTTAAACTTGGCTTCACATTTTCGATCCAGAGTTAAATCTCTGAAAGATGCATTTCCCTTCTTTCAAATGTTTCAATTTTCATTCTGATATTTCTCCTGTGTCACCCCACCCCCTTCAACCTTACAGTCTGGGTGACATGACCATTATCCTGTGTCCCCCCACCCCCTTCAACCTTACAATCTGGGTGACATGACCACTAATTCATGAAAAAACATTTGCTTTGAGGGCTACGTAACATTAAAATGCTGTCATGGGACAAAATGCCGCAGGCCAGGTGACACGAATTTGCCATCATTAGCAAAGGCCAGGGAAATGGAAAAAAATTGCTATTAGTGCACAAACTTCTGAGAGGGTGATTAGACTAATTTGGCATTTAGAGAGGGGCATTTGCATTATTCCCATCAACAAACGAGTGTGGAATGTATATATATTTTTCCAAAAGATGGGTTGGGTTCCCATAGTTTTTAAATTTTGTCATGTCAGTCCGTACAATTTCAGAGATGGCAGTTACATCCGTAAGGTTTCATTGGCCGATTTTAAGCATTTTTGTGCTAGTTTTATTTTTTTTTCTCAATTCTTCAAATTTAAGCCTGTTTTTTCCTGTAAGTTCCCTGATATACTTTATGCTCAATCTCCTCAGCAATTAATTCCCAGAAGAAACATCAAGAATCGACAAAATCATTGGATTTCCAGTAGAATACATTGCTTTTTTTCTAGCCACTGGGGGGGGGGGGGTGCATCACTATCAGTAGCGATTACCCGGTAAAATAACACCTTTATCCATATTGACCCCACAAGGTCCAATTAGGGTATAGAGTTAGGACTTTATGTCTAATGACCACAGCAGAGTCTCCTATGCTAAGGGCTTTAGGTAGTGTTACGCCTATGGATTTTACCGTAAAATAGGTTGAGTTTTGGTTCCTAAAGTAGCTTGTACAGTTTTCTGAAAGTTCACACTCAAAAGACTTTCAATGACGGCAATGTCTGTAGTGTTTCATTAACCAAATTTAGCATCTAATTAGCTGCTTTTGCAAATTTTTATTATATAATTATTCTACTTCAGCTTGTCTTACCCAGTAATTTCTGATACAATTTATGCCCTCCCTCACTATTGGGGCATCAGATCTCAATGATTCATAAGTACAAGGACCAATACCTATTACTCTATTGACCAGGTCCTCAGTGTGTCTTGTTCTCTTCCTCTTAATGACTGTATCATTTGATCTTCATTAAATTAGAGCTCTCACAATGTAGATATATACCAACTGTGCTTGAGATGGAAATCATCATGATTCCTTCTCAATGCACATGAATACATCTGATACTGGTATTTATAAAACCCTAATTGTCATCAATGAAAAATACATATGTAATTCATTTTTTTCGATCCTGGTCCTGCAATTTCCGATGTATATTATGGCGTCTAGAGCTATCGAAGCCGCTGTTATCTGTGGGCCCCACGGGTTCGAACTTAGATTTACTGAGCACTTGCACTTGTAAACGCTAGATGCTAATTTTTAGGATACAGTAATGGTATGGTTCTGCTTATCATTTGTTGCTTCCCGACCCAATTGCTGCCTTGTATATTGTATTCAAACGAAAAGATTCGGTGTTCAACCTTGCCGGAAACTGCCCTTAGAGAGAGAGACTTTCTATGCCAATGTTTCTACACTACGTATTTAAATCTTTTGGATAAGCAACTCATCTGATACAGAGCAATGTTCGGAAGTTGTGATTCATGTTATTTGAAATGAAGTAAGAGAAAATCGTAATTATATGGGGTTGTGTCATACCTTCGGTTGTGAATTTACGGGCAGCCATTTTTGTTTACTATCGATTGTCTGCGCATGCGTAGCACCAACGTTTACCAGCGGAGGGGTCATGTGTTTAAAACAATTATTGAATCTACGACTTAGCTGATTGTCATTGAGATAATGAATTATAAAGACGAAAGAGGTAACTCGTAAATTATAAATATGATACTAAAGATCATTGTAGCGAAAACAAAAAAAAAACATCTGGACGTATAAGAACAGATGCCTAAAAGACGTAAAGATATAACTAACCGTTTTAGTGAAATGAAGGATAAAGGATAATACAATACAAAATTATAAACTGATGACTAAAATCTTGATTTTTTTTTGTTGCCAATACATAGTATGGCACAAAGAAAGAAAATGGTTACCCTCTCTTACTATAATCCAGGGATAACTATAAAAAAAAAATACGAGATCCAATATTCTCCACTATTTTTGGGCGTCAAACTTCGTCCATACAAACACTGAAATATTATGGATTCTTCATAACGTTATATAAATCATAGATAATCATCATCGTGGCCTACATATATTTAAGGAAATCTGAATACAAAAAAAACATGACACACACACACACATTATTATATACATATATATTATCTATCTACATATGTATATATACATATACATATATATACATACATACTATATATATATATATATATATATATATATATATATATATATATATATATATATATATATACATACATACAGGGGCGGCTCTAGAGAATTTTCTGGTAGGGGACACGGGGGGTAACAACAATGAATCTGGGGGGGCACCCAAAAAAAAAATTAAGACTGCCCACTTCAGTACTTATATTGTACAGTTATACATTGTTTATGTTTTCATCTTGCTGTGTGAGTATTATACATTATTATATGTTAATATACATCTATATATAAATATTATATATTAATATATTAAGGGTCCATGACTCTTGGGCGGGGGAACACGGAGTGGCCAATCATATTGCAGTGGGGGCGGGTGTCCCCTGTGCCACCATGGGAGACGCGCCTCTGCATACATACATACATACATACATACATACATATATATATATATATATATATATATATATATATATATACATACATACACACACACACACACACACACACACACACACACACACACACACACACACACACACACAACACACACACACACACACACACACACACACACACACACACATATATAACATATATATATATATATATATATATATATATATATATATATACATATATATGTATTATGTATATATATGTATATGTAAATGAATGTATAAATGTATACATATATACATATATATATACATATATTTATACACATATGTATATATATTATATATATGTATATATATATATATATATATATATGTATATATATGTATATATATATATATATATATATATATATATATATATATATATATATATATATATATATATACATACATATATATAATATATATATATATATACATATATACGCTCTTTTGCTGCAGCTTTGTCCCATTCCTAGATGGGATCGCTATTCCTGACTAGCCTTCTCCACCTAGTTCTGTCATTCACTTCTGCATTCAGTTTTATCGCATTCATTTCGTTCGCGATTCGATCTTTTCATATCCTTTTGGGCCTTCTTCTGCCCCTTCCCTCCGCTTCCATACCCGTGCCTCTTCTTCTGACATGGTCAATATCCCTCCCCATTATAAGACCGAACCACCGTAACCTGCAACCTTCACCGTTCCTCTTACATTTATCTCTTTATCCTGTCTCTCCTTCCCGCACATCCGCCTCAGCGTGCGCATCTCAGCCACTTCTATTTTCCTCTCTTGGTCTTGTTTTATAGGCCACGTATCTGCTCCGTCCAGCATAGCCAGCCTGACCACAGCTTTATACACCGTACTTTTCAATTCCATACCCATTTCGCTGTCGCATCGCACTCCCGATGTCCTCTTTCAGTCGTTCCATTAACTACAACATCCATTCTGTCATCTTCTGTCGCATGTGAGCCCAGGCACTTAAAAGCCTTCTCTCTCCCAAGCGCTCCTTGACCTAATTTTATGTCCCCTATTCTATCGTTTTCCATTGAGCCAGAGATATTTGGTCTTTGTCCTATCAATTTCCAATCCGTGGTCTTCTAAAGCTCTCCGCCACTGCGCTTAGATTTGCAAACCCTCTCTTGACTCTCGCCAAAACGTCACCAGCAAAGAGCATCGTCCATGGGTCCTGTTCTTTAGTATCAGAGACAAAGACGTCCATAATCAGAACGAAGAGATATGGACTAATAGATGAGAGGTGAAAGCCAATCTTTGTTAAGAAACTACCCATGTTACTGTTCACTTGGGTGGGTCGATGGTCCCTCATACATGTCCTTAACTAGTTTCACGTACTTCCCTAACGCCCCCTTCATCCTCAGGCATCGTCTTAGCTCTTCCCTAGGTTCTCTATCATAAGCCTTCTCTAGGTCTATAAAGACCGGTTAAGCAAGAACAGTGTTGTCCATAAATTTTCACCTATTGTACCCTTAATTACCTTCTTGTACTGTTACGTACCCCCCACCCCCTGTCCACCATGGCTAAACAAACTGTTTTATTTAGGATAATGCAATAATATACTAATTATGAAAACACTGCATTGCAAGAGTGTTGGTCAATAAATTCGAATTTAATACACGAATAAAAATGATGATTCAATAACAAAATGCTTGAAAAATACTAAGATGTGAGGCGCGTGTGTTCCTTGTTTGTTCACGTACCCCTATGATCTATGTTGCGGACCCCAGTTTGGACAACACTGAGCTAGAATATTCACCCCTACGCCTGAATATACACCATCCCTCTTACATGTAAGAAGTATATTGCTATATTGCCAGAAGATACTGGTTGGAGGTAATGCCCATCACACAATGATCTTACAATCGCAGATATTTCTTGCGCATTGAATTACAGAGGCCATCATAATGAGCTCAAAATGAGAATATTTTGTTATGGTTATAAAAATCATCATACTTATAAAAAAGTATTACCATTATCATTATCAAGAAAGTTTAATTTTGGTCAATAACAGGTGAATATTCAAACAAAAGCATAGAGAAATGTTCAGAAATGTTTTGCAAATATAAGGCATGTATTTGTGGGGTTCATTAAAACAACGTGTTGCACGTCTTCTATCTTTTGATCGAAGGCAGAAGGATGACGTCACTGGTCTTGCCTTCGTAGTTTTGAAATGTGAAGTTGTTATTCATTCAAGATATAACAATATACATAAAGTAGTGCAACATGATGCTTTGGTGAACCCACAAATACACGCCTTACACTTGCAAAACATTTCTGAACAATTCACTGTGGATTTTAATGTTTGAATCTGATCAGAATAAAGCTTTCTTAATTAACAAGACTACTAATTATAGTAACAATGCTGCTTTTGTTTTGATATGATCGTAAATACATGCTGCTGCTGCTGATAATGATGATGATGATGATAATAATGATAATGATAATAATAATAATAATAATAATAATAATAATAATAATAATAATAATAATAATAATAATAATAATGATAATAATGATAATAACTACAAGCACTCAGAGAGTGCATACCTCCATTAAGGCAATGAGGTAACGGGAATATTTGCACTTGAAAAAATACATTAAAATCATCCCTTTATTAAGTTCACTGGTGACGCCCGTGTTTCCCTATCTCGCAATGCATATGGATCCTTTATAAAATCCCTGATTTGATAAACTATATGTATATATTACACACACATTATTAAATTATTACTCATGAATATGAATAAGGTATACAAATTTATGGATGAAAAGTTTATGTGCATTTCCGTTTCCATATTTGAATAGCTAAGCTGTGAATTGGTGTTCATTTGATAAACGCTTGTTCAATAATTGAAAAAATAACCATCAGTATAGTACGAAAGATGTATTTCCAAGGGCATATTTCAAACTGTGAAGGTATAAGTATGACGAGTAAAAAAATACCGTCGCAAAACTCACATGTAGCATAATCATAAGAGATCGAGACGTGTGTGTGTGTGTGTGTGTGTGTGTGTGTGTGTGTGTGTGTGTGTGTGTGTGTGTGTGTGTGTGTGTGTGTGTGTGTGTCTGCAAATTAATCATAGTATCCAATGAATGATATACCAGTTTTAATCGTATCCATGCTATCAATCAACATCTATTTATCCATCATCATCATATCACGGAAAGTACATGTGTCTATTGATATCACTACCCTTGCCATCTCTAGAAGAGAGAGAGGCGGGGGGGGGGAGACGAAATAGAGGGAGTGAGAGAGAGAGAGAGAGAGAGAGAGAGAGAGAGAGAGAGAGAGAGAGAGAGAGAGAGAGAGAGAGAGAGAGAGAGAGAGAGAGAGAGAGAGAGAGAGAGAGAGAGAGAGAGATGGAGAGTGAGAGAGAGAAAGAGATAACAATCATCATGACCATGCGGTCTTCCACCAATCACATAAGCTAAAATCATAAAGGGGGGTCCAGTTTTGTTTTTATTTGATGATATGTACAATAAATAAAAGTATCAAAACATTTGCCCTTAATTTGGCCATTTTGCACCCGTAAAACTATCTGAAAACTTGTAGGCTAAAAATGCGATTGCAGCGGCGTCTGTGACGTCACATGGATGCACACGCACACACACACATATGCACGTATATATATCTCTAATATATATATATATATATATATATATATATATATATATATATATATATATATATATATATATATATATATATATATATATATATATATATATATATATACACACATATATATGTATGTATATATCCATATATACATACATACATACATATATATATATATATAGATATAGATATAGATATAGATATAGATATAGATATAGATGTGGATACATATAAATATATATATCCATATATTATATATATATATATATATATATATATATATATATATTAATATAATATATATATCCATATATATATAAATATATATATATATATATATATATATATATATATATATATATATTTATATA